ATTGCCCCAGGCTAGAGTGGCATGGCCTCATAGCTCCCAACAACCTCAAACTCCTGGCTTCAAGCGATCCTCTAGCCCCAGCCTCCCAAGTGGCTGGGATTACAGATACCCACCATGACCCCAGCTAATTTTTCTGTTTTTAGTAGAGCTGAGCTCAAGCAATCTTCCCAGCTTGGCCTCCCAGAGTGCTAGGATTTACAGGCATGAGCCACCCCACCTAATCCAGCCATTTGGTTTTAAATCTACTATCAGCCAGCCCATTCCATCTCTTAGGTTCTCTAGTCTAAGCCTGGCATGAAGAGGACATAATTTCTCCAGCTCCTACTTCTTCACTGCCTCCAAAGTTGATCAATCATGACTCTCAGCAGGTAACAAACATAACCACTTGGGGAAGTAATAGATTTCAGGAATTCTATGAAATCCTTACAGGTACTGTGCCTGTTCCCTTACTTCTATGGTGTTCCTGGAAAGAGCTGCCTGGTTGACCCCCCTCAGGAAGGGAAAGCCAGGAGGGTCACCAGTAAACCCAGAGGGAAGACTGTGCCTCCTTGAGTACAGTAGCTAATTTGCATTTCTGAGGTCCTGCAGGCCGGACGGACATCCACTCACCTGATCATCTTCCAATATTCAGACAGTGGGACACAAACCTTTCTGCTTTGAGTCAGTTGGCTCCATGCTGTAAGGATGGGAAATGTGAGTAGATGGTAGAGCAGAGGGTTTTGATTTCATGGTTCAGAGATGAGAGTGGCAAGGAGGAGAGACAGATACAAGAGATGCGACCATTGGTATCCAGCCCAGGCATTCCATCAAGACCTCTGCTAAATTGTGGTTAAGGTATATATTCCAATTTCCAGAAAGCCTCAAGGATGAGTAGATTTATTTATTTCTTCTCATTCATTCATTTATTTATTCATTAGTTTTTCTCTAGTGGTTTCTGGTATATTCACAAAGTTGTGCAACGATTAACTATCTAATTCCAAAACATTTTCATTGCCCCTAAAAGAAACCCAAACCCATCAGCAGTCATTCCCATTCCCTTTCATTCATTTCTAAGGCCTAGCTCTGATAACCCTGCCATGTTCAATGGCAGAATGAACATTAGAGAATAAAAAATTAGAGAAGTAAGATGCTAAAGAAGTGAACTTCAATCTCTCATAGGATCTTCTGGGAGGCTGAATCAACTAAAAGCTGAATAAAGGTCCTAACTTGTCTGGGTGACAGTTTCCTCTCAGAGAGTAGGGCAAAGCAATTGAACAGAATGGCTATTACTCTGGACCAATTCTGCCCAATAAAGAGGAACTGGGTAGGAGAGAGCCACCCACCCCTGACAGCCAGGAAGGCAAAGTAGACATATGCAGCCATGTACCCCAGATTTCACAACAGCAGCAGTGACTGTGTGACATGGGAAATGAACTCACATCTATCTCATAAGCCAAAGGGCACAGCATAATATTTAAGATTCTTAGCTGTGAAGCTCTAACTCAGAAGATATATAATGACTGTTATGTATCTTAGGGGTTGTCAAATGACCACTAGATTTATTCTGGAAGTCCCACAGAGGCATAAATGGGACTAATAGGTGGAAGATCACAGGAAGACAGCAGTATTTTAGATCATTACAGGGGAGGATTTCCTAATCGTCATGCAATCTTAAGGCAGAATGGCTTGCCTTTAAGGTAGAAAGTTCAAATACAATCTGGATATTCAATAAATGGATGCTGTAGAGATAATTCAAAAAACAGAGGGTGATCTGACAACTGTGGCATTCCCACACTTGAGTGGTGAGGTCAGCTGTGAGGTGTGTTGCAAGTGATCTGTTACAATAATAAAACACTGAAGTATGTGATTTACTGTCTTTAGATTCTGGGTTATCATTACAACATCGCTCTTATTCACTTGCTTTTATAATTAAATACATTCTTGAGGGAAGGCAGAAAACTCCATACTTATGGGTAATGCTCACAGGAGTGTTCTCCTCATGTGCATTTATGGGCTAAAAAAGGTGGAGAATTACCAGGTTGGAAGACTGGTAGAATCTCTTCCTAAACTGAGATTCCTTAAGGTTGAGTGGCACTCCTCTACCTCAGCCTTCAACCTAATTATGATCTACTGATGAACAAGAGGAATTGATCATCTGTGCCTCTAACCTGATAGGAGATATTGGTAACAAGTCCTGGGAGTGTATCTGTACCCTACAAAAAGGAACAGTGAGGACTAGATATGTTACATCTGTTAGTGTATTTTACTTTTCATAGAATAGTCATTCAGATGATTTCAATAGAACTTAAACTTTTACATTTTCTTTAAATACAAATGGCCACAGATGGTATTATATAAATCTTTCCTGAAAACATTATTTGCTTTTTGAAACATTAAGCATTTTTCCTCTAAGCAAAAACTGACATGAACTGGTAACTAACTGAACTTGAACTTAGCCCCCTCACCTCAACTCAAACTGGAACTTGGGGAACTGACTTTCCCTTTTCATCTCCCTGGATAAATGGCCCTGGCAGAAACTGCTGTCACAAAGGCCAAATGTAGAAGTATCACCATAAAAACGCTTGACTGACCAATTCAGGCCTTTTCAGAGTCTTCCCTGAGTCCTTTTCCACGTCCTTTTTCTGCTGCTCTGCCAAGCTGCCCCACTGGACTGCAAGAAAAACCAAGCAGATGAAAGGTGTCTGATCACCTGGTGCAGTGAGCTACTAAGCAGCCTGTGATTTCTGGCACCTCATAACTTTCCCTTATTACAAGGTTTTTTTTTCATTATAAAACTATTATTACTATATTATAAAAGTCTGGAAACTAGAGAAAAGAGAAAAATCACTTAATGATCCCATCATCCTAATAAAATCACCACTTGCATTTTAGTGCACTGCTTATCCTGCAGGGACGTCTTTGTATATAGCTGTACATGTGTGGACTACACCTATATAACTTATTTATACCCCACCTCTTCTAGAAAGGATTTGTAGCAACTTCATAAATACATACCATCAGACAGACAAGTCCATGTTGGTATACTCAGTACTTTACTCCAAACCAGCTTGACCTCCTGACTTCCCCATTTCTAACTTGTGGGTCCATCTCCTGTTATCCAGCTTGAACCCCTGTCACCATCTTGGACTCCTCTCCCTCAATCCCAGTATCCGTTTCCATAGATTCTTTGGTCACTATTCCTTTCTCTTTCTGTCCTTCCCACCCCACCCCCACTAATCAGCCACCACCTCCAGTCCAGGTCCTTATTTCTAAAATGTTGCAATGTGCCTCAGACTCCGCTTACACTAATTTTCCTTCACCTTGGACTGCTAAATTATTTTCCTCATTTTGAGTGTTCTGATGCATGCTATCTACATGGCTTTTCATTATCTACCAAATAAAGAACATTATTTGGCTTAAAAATCTGTCCCCAATCTATCTTTCCTGGTATATTTTTGACCATTTCCTCTATGAAATCTCTGCTGGTACCCTTGTACCCTGAGTGTGAAACCCTAGTGTTCAGAGCGAGTACCTGCTACAAGTGCCTGCTCCCTGGTGTCCCTGCAAGGAGAGGCCTTGGAGAGGCCAGCCAAGATAAAGAAATAGGTACTAAACTTATCCTATGACATTAACAACTATAAAACTAGACAAAAATAAGTCAAACATTGTTTCAAAGTATCAGATGCTTAACATCAGAGCTGTGAACCTTGGAGGGAAGGGAAACATGAAAAGTGAGGCCCACAGTCACCTGTTTTTCAGCCTGTGGGCATTTTTCACACTAGAGCTCAGAGAAGTGGCAACTACACAGAGAACAGGTAAGTCCAACCCTCTGCACGCAGCAGAGATTGCTGAGAATGTAAGAAACCAAGCCACTACCTGCTTTTTAAAGCAGGCTCCTTCAATTTTGGATTTTAAAAATACATAATTTTCTAAAATTTCCACGGGCTCTTTTCTCTCATTATGCTTTATCTTCCTTTTTGTTGTCTTTAGGTAAAAATAATGAGCAATCCTGCCTACAGTTTCAAGGAGGGCTCCCACTATAAGGAGATAAAAATATTTTTAGCAATGTCTTCTGTTGCTCAGCTTCTAGCTACCACACTTCACTTCCTACTATAGGAGAGAAGAGATTCTCCACTGAGCCCACATACAGTTTTGTGTTCATGAGAGATATGGATATCTCTGCAATGTTTTAAAAGACCAGGTGGCAGAATGAAACTTCAAGGGCAAACCATCAAAGGCCATGTGAGTACCCAGGCCATCTTTGAGAATGATCAAAGCCAAAGTAGTCCCCTAGACACCCCTTTAGAGAGGGATGAGAAGTGGCTGAAGACCATAAGCAGCAGGTCTGGAGGTATCAGGAGCAGGCGGTTAGTGCTTACTCTTCCCACATCCTATGCTCCTTGCCTTTGAGTGTAAACTGCTACTTTCTCTTTCTCCTATAACTTCCAAAGACCACTGGCCTCTATCCCACTTTCTTGCTTAGCAACATCCTACAATTTGCCAGACAGATGAACATCTGGGAGCAGCCCAGCCTTCTAGTTCAGGCCTGCAGAGGTGTTTCTCAGGGTAGGTGTTCCTGCCATCCCCTGTAGGGAATGCCTTTGAAGAGTACCCTTCAGACACCTCATGTGGTGCCAGATTCAGGTAGAAAATCCTATGTCTCTCTTACCCAGAGCCCTTGAGAGCTTTCCTTCTATAATACCTCATATCCAAACTAGGACTAACTGAAGGGCCAAGGTCTAGAATTAGTTCCCCTGCCCTCACTGTTGCCTCTTCTGAGGTCCAAGAAGGGTCTGGGTGAGAGGACATTTCTCACTGTCTCCCTCACTGAAGTCATGACAAGAACACAATGTTAAGGTCATACATACAACTGTGTTGGCTCAGGGGCCTCTGCAAAGCCAGGCACAAAGCAAACCCAGCCTTATCCATTATGCTACCTGGGGAACACAAGGTTGCCAGGCAGACCACATGAGTAGGCAGACTGCCTGCTACCCAGAACAATATAGAAATTTCTACCCTACCATCAGCAAGTGGCTTGCAGGAGAGGGCATCATCAAGGTCTCGAGCAGTTGATGGGTCAATGGTGAAGACACAGTATTGCCTAGGAAAGAGTTAAGATATAATTAGCAAGGCCACAAACAATTTTATTCCACGACACTACTATTTACAGGGAAGTGAACAGTAACTTCTATAAATCTCTGGGAATGGGACCTTTAGTATAATGTGAGACTGGGGAGAGACAAATGGGTGGCTTTCTTTTCCTCCCCATGAATTGGCACCTACTTCTCCCTGACCCAGAGCAAGGGAGAGCAGGTGTGAGCAGGGAGAGGTGAGGCTTCTTCTAGGAATGAGGCCTCCTGAGAAGAGTTATCTAGCAAGAGGGGCCAATCCTTTCAGTAAATTATTTTTCCATGGTCAGTTACTAATATTCTGTCCCTACCTTCTCCAGCGGCTAATAGGAACCTGTACTTCAAAGGTCTATATGATAATTTACTGCTCCTTTCTCTACCTTGAAAAAATGAGATACGTCAAAGAATAAGTCACCTGACTTAAGACATGGGGATGGGACCCAAAAATAAGTTCTGCAAAAAAACTTTGGGCTGTATAGTTATCTATAATACAATTCTACTTGGAAATAGTCCAAATCACAGTTTATTCCCATAGAATAATCATATAATTTCCCCAAATTCCCATTATCAAGTACACCCTGTGCCCATCTGCCTTCACATAGTATCTATCCCCTTGTACATCTCCCTCTTAATCTGTGAAGCCCTAGGACATTCTCTTTTGTTGCACAGTTTCATGTACAGCATGCCCCATGCCACCCACCTATTTCTACTACATAAACACCTAAAGATTTGAGGAGCAGCTAGCTGTCCATGGTTTCCCACGCCTCCTCTCTTTCCTGCCCAGGTACCAGCCTAGAGAGTGGGGTATTCCACACCAACTACCTTCTGCCCCTGAACTGTGCTCACTATTCCCATCAAACTCTTCCCAAATTCTTCCTCCATTTCCTCCATCAGTGTTAGTGCATTGCCACCATTTATTTCCCCAGCTCCTCCCAGCTCATTGACACTGATGATGGTGGCCTTCCTGGTACTCACCCCAATCAGGAAGGGTTTGTTCTTAAAAGAGTTTATTCCTGGAGTTGCTTCTCTGATCAAAACTTCCCCCAAGCCCTACTCTGGCACAGGCTTGCCATGCTCTCAGGGCCGTTCTTTATCTGACTCTTGACTATACACTTCTCTTACTCTTACGGGCCCTCAACACTGATCCCCCACACTGATCATCCCACCAATATTAACACCTCGATTCTAAGATAGTCTTCAGTTTTAAGACATGCCATCAATTCAACAATAACTTTCTGCAGCAACAAAACCCACACCACATTAAATCTATGTCTTAATTTTAATGTACTTCAGGACTCCAGAAATGTCAATTTTTTTAAAGTAATGGCAAATGGCAAATGGATAATTAAACTATGGGACATCCCCATGAAACAGAACTTAGCATCACAAATGATGATTCATACATGCCAACAGCTTGAATGAATCTCAAAGGTAGTATTCTAAGTGAAAAAAGTCATTCTCAAAAATTTACATACTATATGATTCTACTTACATGACAGTTTCATAAAAACAAAACTATAGGGACAGAGAGATCAGTGGTTGGCAGAGGCTGGCAAAGGGGTGCTTATACAGAAAGGATGGAACTTTTCTGACTTTAATTGTGGTTACACAAATCTTTATTTTAAAATTCATAGAAATATATACCAAAGAAAGGTCCACTTTGCTGTGTGAATCAAGAAAAGTAAAGAATATATTCTAAATGTATAGGGTTGATCAACAGGTGCTAGAATTACAGATTTTTTCTCTTTACTGTATACTTTTTCATATTTTAAAAAATTTTCCCTGCAATTAAGTTGTTTTTTTTTTTTTGTAAATGGAAAAAATTAACACTATCTGACAGGTGTGTCGAACCCATGGCCTGTGGGCTGCCTTGGATTATGAGGACTGTTTTGCTTGTCTGTGGTGGCAGATATCACAAAAATTATGCATGGACCTTTTTTTTTTTTTTTTCACTCATCAGCTTTCGTTAGTATTTGTGTATTTAATGTGTGGTCCAAGACAACTCTTCTTCCAAAGTGGCACGGAGAAGCCAAAAGGTTGGATACTCCTGCAAGTGTAGTCTTCCTCAATCCCAAAACAACTGTCCAACAGATTCTGCTTATTTGTATGTTTAGCTACTTTGTGACATTTGTTTACACTCCTCTTGTTTAATATAACCAATGGCTTTAAAATTAAGAATCTGGTAAAACTGTATCCTTACTGGTTACACTAAGAAAAGGGGGCAGGAAAGGTGGGTGCCACTCAGATGGAAGGAATAAGAGCATCTATTCCCAGAAAGAGTGGTTAATCAGAAGCCTCTCCCTCACCCCCCCACTGCTGAATGTTTTGAGGATAGTCACACAGAGTATGAGAAACACAAAGGTTGAAGTCCTAGGAAATACAGTAATAATTTCTGTTCCACCACATAAAAGAGACTGTAAGCAGGAATGACAAAGGAAAAGGGCCATACCAATGCTTCCTGAAAGCTCTGCAGTGCCTTGAACAGAGGCTGCAACTCAGAGGAGCCTGCTGAGTGAGTCAATGAATGGGAACAGGAAGAGCCAGGGTGGTGAAATTAATCCTGACACCAGAGCAATGAGCAGTAACTGGTGAAAATCTTGAATCTGGCTCACAAGGTAAAGAAGGAACTGTCTGCTCCATGCTCCTTTTTGTGTCCCCCATAAAACCTACCCAGATGTTTTATATACACTGAGCACTCAATAAAAAAACACTTGTGTAACAGAAACTGAGACTGAAGTGTCAGATATGGTAATGGGAATGTTTTGATTTTTCTCTCATCATAATGATATTATAAGAACCTAAAAGACTGTCTCCCTAGTCAAAATCAAAAAGAACTCTGTTAGCTTGGGGTTGGGGGAGCCATGGTTGATTAGTTTACTTGGAGGGTTGACAAGGAAGATATCTGTATGTATTTTCTTAAAATTAAATGTCTCTGGGTGCTGTAAGACTTTCACTTCCCTAGATACAGTGAATGAATGGTAATGCCCATTAAGACATTCCCAGCTGAAGGCTGATATAACTGTATGTGACAGAGGAAGGCTTTGATTACTAGTTTGTAAACATCTTTTTTGAGAGGAACCACAATTATTTTCTGAGGAAAATCCTAGACTACCCTCTAAGGACTCACACCAAATCTCTACTACCTATTTAAATCTACTCTTAAACCAGAAACATAAAAGTCCAAATTAAAACTGAACTCTGAGTAATGGTAGTCAGAAAGACTTACTTGCTAGAATCCTTTCATAATCAGAACACTTAAGAAAATGGGTATAGAGGGGATATTTCTTAAACTGATAGAGGCCATCTACAGCAAACCCACAGCCAATATCATATTGAATGGAGTTAAATTGAAATCATTTCTACTCAGTTCAGGAAGCAGGCAAGGTTGCCCATTGTCTTCACTGCTTTTTAACATTGTAATAGAAGTCTTAGCCATTGCTTAGGCAAGAAAAGGCGATCAAGGATATCCACATAGGGTGAGAAGAGATCAAATGTTCACTCTTCCCAGATGATATGATTGTATATCTGGAAGACATCAGGGATTCGACTACAAAACTCTTAGAAGTGATCAAGGAATAAAGCAGCATCTCAGGTTACAAATCAACACTTATAAATCTGTAGCCTTAATATATACCAACAATAGTCAAGCTGAAAAAACAGTCAAGGACTCTACTCTGTTCACAGCAATGCCAAAGAAGATGAAATATTTGGGAGTTTACCTAACAAAGGATGTGAAAGATCTCTATAAAGAGAACTGTGAAACTCTAAGAAAAGAAATGCTGAAGATGTTCACAAATGGAAAAACATACCATGCTCATGGCTGGGAAAAATCAACATTGTTAAAATGTCCATACTACCCAAAGCAATATACAATTTTAATGCAATCCCTATTAAAGCTCCACTGTCATACTTTAAAGATCTAGAAAAAATAATACTTCATTTTATATGGAATCAGAAAAAACCTTGAATAGCCAAGACATTACTCAGAAATTTTTTAAAAAGCAGGAGGAACCATGCTACCAGACCTCAGACTATACTATAAATCAATAGTGATCAAAACAGCATGGTACTGGCATAAAAACAGAGAGGTAGATGTATGGAACAGAATAGCGACCCAAGAGATGAACCCAACTACTTATCGTTATTTGATCTTTGACAAGCTAATTAAAAATATTCAATGGGGAAAAGATTCCCTATTTAACAAATGGTGCTGGATGAACTGGCTGGTGACCTATAGAAGACTGAAACTAGACCCACACCTCTCACCATTAACTAAGTTAAGACTCTCACTGGATTAAAAATTTAAACTTAACGCATGAAACTATAAAAATACTAGAAGAAAGTATAGGGAAAACACTTGAAGAAATCGGCCTGGGCGAATATTTTATGAGGAGGATCCCTTGGGCAATTGAAGCAACACCAAAAATACACTACTGGGACCTGATCAAACTAAAAAGCTTCTGCACTAACAAGAACACAGTAAGTAAAGCAAGCAGATAGTCCTCAGAATGGGAGAAGATATTTGCAGGTTATGTCTCCAACAAAGGTTTAATAACTAGTATCCACAAAGAACTCAAATGTATTAGCAAGAAAAGAACAAGTGATCCCATCTCAGAGTGGGCAAGGGACTTAAAGAGAAACTTCTCTGAAGAAGACAGGCGCATGGCCTATAGACACATAAAAAAATGCTCATCATCCTTAATCATCAGAGAAATGCAAATCAAAACTACTTTGAGATATCATCTAACTCCAGTAAGATTAGCACGTATCACAAAATCCCAAAACCAGAGATGTGGAGAAAAGGAAACACTTTTATACTGCTGGTGGGAATGCAAACTAATACACTCCTTTTGGAAAGATGTTTGGAGAACCCTTAGGGATCTAAAAATAGACCTGCCATTTGATCCTATAATTCCTCTACTAGATATATATCCAGAAGACCAAAAATCACATTATAATAAAGATATATGTA